CACACACACACACACACACACACACACACACACACACACACACACACACTTGCAGGGAAGTGGATGATATGGCACAGGGCCCGATGGAAATGCGAATTTGTGGTGCCTCACAGCTGCGGGGGCATTGCAGAAAGATGGCTGCCCGTCATGAGGGCATATGGCACAGGGCCCGACCGTCAGTCCAAGGAGGGCGTCCTGGAAAGTTGTGGTCACTACCGACAGGGGCCTGCAGAAAATATTTTTTGGCCCAGGGGCGCGACAGGGTAAATCGGCCGTCGGAGGGGCGCGACAGGAAATAACGCAAATTACAGGGGCGCCAGACAAATTTTCTTTTTATTTTATTATCTTTTTATCTTTTTCGCTTTTTAAATGGGCGACAGCCTATCAACACCAAGTTGACCAGACGCACATTTTTTTTTTCTCCTTTTTTTTTTTTTTTTTTGGTATCAGATATGTAGGGCCATCAGGACTTGGGTAGTATTTTGACAGTCGATTGGTGTACAAACTGAGGTACTGGGGGCCAAGTCCCACTAGCAGGGTCCAGTTTCCTCAACGCCTGAATCTGGACATGTTTGTTGGCCAATGTGCAGAAATCCCGATGAGTTTCCCCAACTGCACATCTCCACAAATTCAGGCGTTGAGGAAACTCAACGCTGCTAGTGGGACTTGGCCCCTGGTACCTCAGTTTGTACACCCAACCGCACATCTCCACAAACACGTCCAGATTCAGGCGTTGAGGAAACTCAAGCTGCTAGTGGGACTGATGCCATGCTGGGCGTGGGGGCGCAGCCAGGACGGCGGGGGGTTCGCCGAAGCAGGCAGCTAGCTGGCCGTGCCCCTGCCTCCCACGACACGGTTCGCCGGGGGTGGAGGGGCAGAGAATCCAGTTTCATTTTGCACATGCCCTTTTGGGTTTGGAACGTGGAGCGAGGCCCGTCCTTAAAACGCCACCGTAACTCTCCAACTATATAGCTAAGATCATGTCTGTGCCGGCAACCGGTCGGTTGGACCGGCCCGGATCCAACCGGGCCGGTTGGACCCCCGGTGGTCCAACCGGAATTCCGGTTGGGTCCAAAAGTGGGTCAAATTTTTATTTTTTATTTTTTTTTGAAAACATGGCTGGACTGCGCTCACCGAGATCTCCCCGAATCCGCAAAGAAAACTTTGAACAGAGAAGTTTCATTTGGGGGGTTGGGGGTT